TAAACGGACACGTTTGATACGAAAGGGTAATTATTTAAATCTTTTTTTCTAAAAAAAATTAAAATATATTTATTTTTTTAAAATTGAATAAAAGTAAACAAGTTGGGGCTTTTGTTGCATCTTATTGAAAAATAAATTTGGTCAAAATCACTAATCTTTCCCTTAATTATTTTTCCATGAAGCCTTTACTCTTTGACTAGGGTATTGAAATGTCAGAATTATATTATTCATCCAATTTAATTTAGTTTTCTCTCCAAAGAACGTGTAGAAAACTTCTATTTCAGTGGTTCTCAAAGGGGAAGCGGCGTGAAGCTAATTAAAAATACAATATTTGTCAGATTTGATCTCGCTCGCCTTATTTGGATATTTAGGTTCCATCCGCGTACTTTTAATTTTTTTTAATTAAACATACTTCGCCTCACTATCTGTTATTTGTACATGTAACAAATTACCCAATAATTTGGAGTATTTGACATCAACATTAAAAATAGTTTCCGACGTCATAGATATTTGGAAATTTCGATAACATTCGAATAGTGACTCTCCCCGTCAGATGCAACGAAATTGAATAATTCGCATGTGATTATTAGCAATATACATGATTTATCTTGTTTTACATGGATTTTCATTATGTGAATTGTTCGCAATAATTGAGCCAGAGCAAAATCTAACTCCGCGAAAACGAATGGTTTTAAGATAAAAAAAGAAAGAGGCGATTTTAAAGAATAATATGAAATGTGTGCTATCATTTTCAAGGCGATTCTCAAAAAACAATTGTTATTCTTAGTTACTTTATTTGTCTGCCAATCAGTGATTTCCCTACACCCCCCCCCCCTATAGGGGGTGAACCCCCCCCCCCCCCCCCCCTCAAATTTCAAACACCCCCCCTAATTTTGAGGTGCGATTCCACATTTTATTTCCTAACTCAAGTATAATTGCATTCAAATGTAACGACTATGGCATATTTATCAGTGTAGATGAGGGGTTTCTAAACCGCAGTCTGCGGGCCAATTACGGCCGGCGTGACGATTTAAAATGGCCCGCCGAACTTGAGTGAAATAGTTTAACGAGCTAACCCTTCATGTAGTACCTTTGAGTTTTAGATACCGTCTATTGTTACATCATTATCACAGTTTAAGCACGTTTATTTCGCAACAATTGAATTATACCGGTATCTTATGTATACGTATGGGTATAGAATTACACACTTCAGTATTTTAGATATTTGCCGTTTATTAAGAAAGCTTAAAGATGTCACAAAACGAAAACTAGGCACTGAAAACAGACGATTTTTAGATGAATGACAGCGTTTTTATTTCTTTATTGAAAAGAATCAAACTTCAGCGATTTGTCTTCTTACCAACAAAATATTTCAGTTCTGAAGGAATACAACATTATGCGCCATTATGATCAGTTGACGCGCGTATTTCAAAATTTAATTCATACAAAAGTCAAACACACATGTTCAAAAAAATGTGAAATGTGTAACAAAACAAGCCATAAGTAGCCATTCATACAATGCCAGATGAGCAAGTAACTTCATTAGTCACTATCAGTTGCAAATTACTTGTTGAAACGTAGTAGTATATATATATTTACGGTTGAAAGTCGTGCTTGTTATCTATTTCCCGGGAATTCTATCAGCTAAATATTATAATTATTGATTTTATTACATAACAAACCGCGATGCTAGGTGTATCTAAAATCAAGCTTAGAGCCTATTTTGGTGCCTATTTCTCAAAATTTTCTCAGGCCGCTTAAGCGCGCCCTGAACCCCAGCCGTGTCGTCCCGCACTTTTCCTCGCTCCCCTTTTCTGGCCCTACAATTTTATTCTGCTGTGGATTTTGGCTCGCCGTCAATCAACTTGGGGAGCCCCTCATTTACATCGTTTCTTAAATACATACCATTTTTTTAAGAATACAAATAACCTAGTCTCTAATAGTAAATTATTTACCACCCCCACTAAATTTCGAAACACCCCCCCCCCCCTAAAATAAAAAGCTGGGGAACATACTGCTGCCAATAACAATAAGCTAGATACCTACGTTTGTTTATAAGTAATTGTACTGTATTGATGTCGGAGATAATACAATCTAAATAACAGCTATTCCAGTTCGAGCACGTAACTTATATTATTCTTTTATATTTTGGAGTCAGATTAGTATCTAGTACTATAACTAGTTAGTTAATAGTAGTTGAAAAAAAAAACGTTTCATAGCTGAACTATACTGTAACTGTTGCCCGTGCCCCCTTTGACGGTAATCTGACCCAAATATCCCGACCAACAGGACTGTACCTTTCTTCCACTCAAAATTATTTTATTGAATATGTCACATATTTATGCCCTTTTCATGCCCGAATTCCAATCTCATCTAATGAACAGGACTAATCCAGACTTAATTTTATCTGTTCACCACAATACTCGCAATTTTTCTAACTCTCTGGAAATGTACATGCAAAACTCTCTCACGTCGTTTTGGGCAAATAAAAAGGACTTACGTTACAGCGCCCATTAATATATGTAGGCTACAGAAAAGAAGTGATATGGGGGTCTACTGTTCGCTGTATTAGTACCCACGAATCGTTTTGTTTAGATTTAGAACTTCAGATCGCTACCGAGGTATTTGTGGTACACGGTAAAGTATTTTTTTTGTATATGTTACTGATAAAGAGAACCGGAATGACCACAAACGTATGCACGTGGACGCGCTACCAAGCATTAACGCTTATAATTTGCACATAAAGCTTTGTTTCATTCCATGAGGTTACTCAGCATTCCCGGCATATGAACTTGCAAAAGTCAGTACAGAGTTTGACTCATATTCAAAAAACAGTAATAGATTGATTCACGTGAACTTTGAAACATCTTTGTTGTGTACTTACACAATTTATTAATTCAATTTATCAATTTCACGCTGTTGGAAAACTGAAAATTTAGTATATAATATTATATTATTCTTAGATCAATCACGTGTGTGTGATTCATATAGAAAAAAGTAAGCTGAAACTTCCTATTGCATTCCTTCGTAATCGCTCACAAATATGCATCGAGAAGTGCTAGTTCAGTCCTGACAGCAAGAAATCAGGTAATTTTGCCCTGGATCATGTCAGTACTGTATGCTGACCTGTTTTGTCTAAAAAATCTTCAGTCTGGCGCACATAATCCTGATAATTGAAAGCGCCATAACTTATAATAATTATCCGCCTGTGTTTCAGGATACCGGTACCAGTACCGGGTACTGTGTTCAATCGTTTTATCATGCCGAGCACGGTATAACATAGATACGATAACACTGTAACATCTCAAGACAAAATGACCTGATAGTTATACCGTACCGGTACCGGTAGGTTATAATGAACATAATTTAAATAGATGGAAAATCAAGCAGAGGAATGTTTATCTGAATTTTTCAGTATCACTAAATTGATTTTATCATAAAATGATCTTCATTTATACAAATTTCTGTTAAACATGAATCTCCCAGTACCGATACCGGTACCCTATATTATATAGGTACGGTATCTGTATATTGGACATTCCTTACTCTGTTATTTGAATATTATTATATTTTATTTATGATTTATATATATTGGATTATATTGCATTTGAAAATAAAAAATATTTCATTAGCTTCTGTCCTAACTTGGTATGCTATCCTCTTGCAGTCTTATTTCTTCAGTCTTCTGTTCATTTCTTTGGCTGAGGTCAAGTTTATTTTACCTCTAGTGGTACTTTCAAATCCGCAGCTATTTTTCTCCCATTTCAATAAACTTTTGTTTGATGTTCCACTCCCAGCAACAGCAAGGCGCTCTACGGACTGCCCTTGACATACAAGGGGCTATTATTTTTTTTAAAAACCTTCGAAAAAAATTGGACTGACTTTTTCAATTCTGTATAGAGAAGAAAAATTTAGCTAGATATAGTCTATAAACGCCTGTATGGAATTTATGTTCGATTGTGCGTACATATACAAATATAGGAAAAAATTAGATGTTGCTCAACAAGCAATAATAATGAATATTCAATATTCATATATTATTGTACTTATCACTGTACATTTTATTATTCGTTTATTGTAGTGCTGTAGTATGAAACAAATACGCATATGTTGTCAGTTGCTAATTGATGCTCGGTAGTAGGATTAGCAAATCAATGAATTACGATTGATTGCTGAACAGAAATTAAAAATTGTCTTTATTGTGTCTGTGAGTCTTCGTTATTTATACCCGTGGTAAGTTAGAAATGGAAAAATAGACAGAATTAGAATCCAATCAATCTGCTTAAAAAGTAAAGTAATGCGTTAGGACCATAACTTTCCACAATAGGGTACACTTTAATTCTATTTAATCTCAATGTCCTATATACAGATATATCTCATGTAAAGCTGGTTGTCAGAATAATCATCATTTATTTGAATGTATTTTTTTTTGATTAGTGTGTCATTTATAAAGACAGAATTATAATAGAGATATTGAGCCAAATGGTATAAATTTAAAATACTTGAAACCACTATCTGGGGAAATTCTGTGTGAAATATCAAATTCTGTGTCATTTATTTTGATAATAATGTTGACCCAGGAAGGATGATTTTAATGTTTTAATATTCCTCATCAATTTAGAATTTTTTTTAGTGGCAGACATGCAATGCACATCACACAGTTATTTCAGTTATTATTACAGTATTGAGGTTGGGTGGCTATTCTTACTCATAAACTGAGAACTGTCATATTCTTATTGTTAGATGCAAAAAAATAGTGGTCAATCGTACTTTTTTGCATTTTTAGCTGAATCCTTTTCTATATTTTTTTGCCTCTCTTATGAAGTAAGTAACGAAGCCTAACAGTTCAGATTGTAGTCTCCTTGAAACAATCAAAGCATAAATAATATTTTATCCATGCTCATGTTATGTAATAAGCTTCTTAATTTGTGTAATGTAGGTTTTATCTCTTTTGATAACCTACAAATCCTTAAATCCTTCATTATTATACATGCTTTATACAGGACAATACAATATTATAGTTTACTTTCACGGATTACTATTTTCCTAAATCTATTTCGTTTATCTCAAATGAGAAAGGATATTCAACCATGTCTCAAAGGTATGATCATAATCAAGCTGGACCGAGCAATAGTAGGGAGAGACACCATCCAGATCACTTTTTAGAAGATCATGTGTTACGTTTAAGCGACAACGAAGTTGGTGGGCTCGCTGGAAATCACTCTCGTGCTCCACTCAATGAAAATGAGCAAGATGAGGGTCCGGTTGATAGTGTTGCGTTTCTCCCTTCTCCTGCTGGATTTTCTTCTGATTCCCTTGCGGATGATTCCGATTTCAGCAGTTATTGTGATTTTGATGATGGATTTGTCAGACGTGGAGGCTTTCATGTTCGACAGCACGAACATAACTCTGCTGATAATGCTGATCGTGCTCGCAGAATTATTGTTGAAGCTAGCCCATCTGCTAACAGTGATATACCAAGTACAAGCAGAGGCCCTAGAAATTCTGAAAATTCTGGTGTCCGTGGAAACAAACGACCTCTAAGCAGTTCAAGTGATTCATGTGTTGAAAGTTTCCTTTTACGACAAGTCGCGGAAACTAATTGTCTCGGTTTAATGCAGTTTGGCGAACTTCATTCTCTCGATTCATTGACTGCGAGAGCGAAAAAATTTGCACTTGACAATTTTCGAAAAGTCTGTCAACAAGAGGAGTTTATAAGACTTCCGCCAAGTGTATTGATGTGGTATTTATCAAACGATGCTTTGTGTGTGCAAAGAGAAGAACACGTTTTTCAAGCAGCTATTTCATGGCTACAATTCAGCGAAGCAAGGGATGAACACACCGTTGATATTCTGAAATGTGTGAGATTGTACTCTGTCAATCCGCATTTTCTTTTCGACACCATTGCAAAGCATTCGTTTTTAAAAGGAAAGCCAGCGGTCCAAGATTTAGTTTCTGAAGCATGTAAATACCACGCACCTAGTTGCAATGAGTGGAAACAAATGCAACAGCCTCATACCAGACCCAGAGAAGCATCAGGTATTACCGAAGTTTTATTTATTGTTGGGGGTATATGTAACAATAGAAGACTACATGTGGCTGAATGCTATCATCCTAAGAGAGGATGGATTGCTTTGGCAGACATTGTTACAGCACATTGTACAATGCACAGTTACAGCGTATGTGCAATGAAGAATAATGTATATGTCACAGGCGGGCATAGTAATTCTGGAATAACAGCAAATGCGGCTTCACTTTATTTATCAAAAATTAATCAGTGGAGCGAGTTACCCAGCATGATTTGTGCTAGAGAACAGCATGGTTCAGTAACCGCAGATGGGGCTGTTTATGTTGCCGGAGGTTTAATGGCGTCACAGAAAGGTCGTAAGAAACCAATAGTGCTTGATCAAGTTGAAAGATACCGACCCGCTTTCAACCAATGGGAGTCAGTAAAGCCGCTGCCCAAACGTTGTTATTCTCCTGGCGTTATATCGTATAAAGAAAAGCTTTATGTTATTGGTGGTGTTAGCATGACTGACGAACCAAGCAATTCAAGCAAAATTATCTTGAACTGTATCCAATGCTACGATCCACTTATCGATAAATGGTCTCTTCTACCACTAGGTCAACCATTGGCACGATTATGCTGTACGCTATATCAAGACAAGATTTATATGATATCAAATAATGCGAGTGAGATATTCCGTTATGATCCAAACACCCAAACTTTTGAGGAGTGGCAGCATCTACCAGAACCTGGTTTAGAGTTTGCTGGACTCGCAACTTTCAATGGAAACCTTGTCATTACTGGAGGTCAGAAGGAAAGCAACACTTTGAATAAAATGTTTGTCATTAGTTATGATACCAAGGAAGTTATAGAAACGGTCAATATGACAAGATCACTCTGCATGCATGGCTGTGTGGCTATCGACAAATTTGGATAGCGCAAGGAAAGTGGGTCAATCACATATATATAAAAATTTTAATTTTCTTGTAATTATATTCTGCCATTCAAACATGAAGCTGTGCATCTATGTACAAAAATATACATTATTTTGCTAATATTATGGCTCTCAGCCTGTTCATGATTGATTTATAGTGTATAGCAGAGGATTACAATACAATAATATGTCTTATATCCGAAATGATTGAGTAAAATAAAACTTAAATTGGACCTTTATGGTGGCCCATCGTTGTCACGCATAAAATTAAAAAAAAATTAAAAACTCAAAATAAAGTAAAATAAAAAATAGTTGTGAAAAACATAAAAAAAAATGAAATAAAAATAAAATGCAAAAAAAAATTAAAAAAAAAAGTGAAAATGAAATAAAAACAAAATAAAAAAAAGCAAAAAAATTGAAAAAAAAAAAAGTGGATGAAAATAAAATAAAAAGGTTGACAACGATAGGCCGCCTTGTGGCCCATCTTTGTCACGCGTTATTATTTTTAAAAAATTTGCTTCTGCCTGGGACCAACGTTGTCATGCATAATCTTACGCGCACAAACGGTGTTCCCTGGGTTTCTGACTCATTACTGATTTTCTTGAGCAATATTCAATAAATTTAATATGCAAATGTTCTATAAAGTCCCCATGACACAAGTTCAACTAGAAGCAATATATATATATTCAAAATAATGATAATAGAATTGAATACAAAAATTTGTTTTTACGCGTAGAAGGCAATTGAATTGGAGAATGCTGCTTAAATGCTCAGTTGTCCGGACACTCGTGCGATACCGTCTTATCACACCCGGTACCCAGCATGCAGTCACTCATGAAACGAGTGGGAGATACGGATAGTCTAGTTACTAGTAGAATATGGTGAATCGAGGGGTGGATTGAAATAAGTGGTTGAGCCCGCGCGATTTATCATTCATCTGGCCGTACGGTATGCCATACCGTATGCACATATAAGTATAAGTATAAGTTTATTTCGACTCCATAATCAGCATAACAATACATTTGACAGATAAAAACAAATAAATAAAATCTGATTATGAAATCAGGGGAGCAAACAAAACCTTAGATAAGGTTTATAACGTACAAAATATAAGATGAAAGGTTTTGCCAAGAGGAAGTGGTACGTGTTTACTCACCTAAAATTATCAAGTTATTTCACACACGCTCACATGCACCCACCAGCCACATGCCGACAGACACATGCCGACATGCATGTTCCATTGAAATCTGGTCTAACCATAATCGCCTTCCAGCCTTCGCTTAGTTAAATATATTACTTCTAGTTGAACTTGTAGCATGGAGAATTTATAGAACATTTTCGTTTTGAATTTATTGAATATTGCTCAAGAAAATCAGTAGTGAGTTAGAAACCCAGGGAACACCGTTTGTGCGCGTAGGATTATGCATGACAACGTTGGTCCCAAGCAGAAGCAAATTTTCTCAAAATAAAAACGCGTGACAACGATGGGCCACGAGGCGTTGTCAATCTTTTTATTTACGTTTTTTTTTTGCTTTTTTTAATCCGTTTTTATTTTATTTTCGTTTTTATTTTTAATTTTTTTTATATTAACAATATCTATGGTGGCCCATCGTTGTCACGCGTAAAATTGAAAATAAAAAACCGAAAATAAAAAAATTGTTGTAAAAAAACATAAAAATAATTAAAAAAAAAAATGAAAAAAAACAAATAAATAAAAACAAAAAAAAAAAAAAATAAAAAAAAAATTGAATAAAAAGAAAATAAAAAGGTTGACAACGATGGTACGCCTCGTGGCCCATCGTTGTCACGCGTTTTTATTTTTAGAAAATTTGCTTCTGCTTGGGACCAACGTTGTCAGGCATAATCCTACACCACAAATGTGTTCCCTGGGTTTCAAACTCACTACTGATTTTCTTGAGCAATATTCAATATGAAAATGTTCTATAAATTCTCCATGCTACAAGTTCAACAAAAAGTAATATATTTATAATAATGATAAGAGAATATAGAATTGAATACGAAAATTCGAAAAATTTGTTTTTACGTGTATAAGGTAATTTATTTGGAGAATGCTGCTTAACTACTCAGTTGTCTGGACACTCGCGATGCCGGTACCGTCTTACCAAATACCGGTAGTCGGTTATAGTCGCTTTGCGTCTGACCGTACCGGTAGCCATACAATCACTCATGAAATAATGGGAGATACGGATAGTATCGCAGAATATAGACTACTGAAACACTCTCTGCGCCTGCCCCATACCGTACAGCCGTAACGTACCGATCCAGACAAATGATAAATCGCCCGTGCTCAACCATTTATTTCAATCCATACCACGATCCTAGTAGAATATAGTGAGTCGAGGTATGGATTGAAATAAATGGTTGAGCACGGGCGATTTAACATTTGTCTGGATCGGTGCGTTACGGCTGTATGGTATGGGGCAGGCGCAGAGAGTGTTTCAGTAGACTATATTCTACGAGACTATCCGTATTTCCCATTCTTTCACGAGTCAGACGGTACCGTACCGGCATCACACGAGTGTCTGAGCAGTTAAGCAGCATTTTCCAATTAAATTATCTTCTACACGTAAAAACAAATTTTCGTATCCAATTCTATATTCTCTTATCATTATTATAAATATATTGCTTGTGGTTGAACTTGTAGCATGGAGAATTTATAGAACATTTTTCATGTTGAATTTATTGGATATTGCTCATGAAAATCAGTAGTGAGTTAGAAACCCAGGAAACACATTTGTGCGTGTAGGATTAAGCCTGACAACGTTGGTCCCAAGCAGCATCAAATTTTCCAAAAATAAAAACGCGTGACAACGATGGGCCACGAGGCGGACCATCGTTGTCAACCTTTTTATTTTCTTTTTATCCAATTTTTTTATTTTTTAATTTTTTTTTTAATTTCAACTTTTTTTTTTATTTCTTTTTTTTTCAATTATTTTTATGTTTTTTTCACAACTATTTTTTTATTTTCGCTTTTTCATTTTATTTTTTCATTTTTTTTTTTAAATTCCACACGTGACAACGATGGGCCACCATAAATATCCTATGGCAATTGATGATTAAATCCTTACACAAGTCAAGTCTGCAAGTAGGCCTAGGCCAATAACAGTAGTTTGTCATCTGCTTTCCATTGAAATGAGGTAGCTTATGAATATTTAAAGATATTGATAACGGCACATTATCACTCGCCATCAACGAAATGCTGTCCGCAAACAGTGAAACACAAGCGAGATGACTTCTGGACTTGACAGATTGCAT